CTAGGCATCATCGATCCTTCCTTTTAAAAAGACAAGCAGTTTCAGATTGGTTTTAGTTTATCATATGCAAGTCATCATTATGTCTATAACCGAATTTTTGTAAGTAGCTTGTAGCTACAAATCCGATAATTAATTTAATCATCGAAACTTGAGCATCAGCAATCAGTCAAGTTATCGACGATTATTAAAATTATCATATTTGCTTGAATCTGATGCAATTAAATTATCTTTCTTAGTCGCAGTCATTTAATTCTTTCAGCAACTCAGTTATACATTTTAGACATAATACATAACTTGCTCAAACCTTTTACACTACTCATCATTAACTGCTGCCTTTTGATCGAAGATTGCAACTTAGTTATAGTAAAACATTTATAATTCTTTCTTAGCAAAGAGGTATAATAAAAGTGACTGGATATCTACACTTATGAATTAAGATTAATTGATAGTAATCTTAATGTTTGTTGCATTCGATCGCTTGTTACAATAAATTAGTTAAAGAATTAAAACCACGATCAACATTCAAATGATGTTTTAATTAAGAATTGGCTTTTAATAACAGAGTACGTTGCAATTTTAAATATGAGAAAATAAGAAGCAGGTTCAATTTTTCGATTTATAATGACTACTTTTATAGCTTGATATGATGACACGCTTCTCTTCAATCTGATTGCTATCAAAAAATATTTGTTACAAGTTACTGTAAACTTTTTAAGGTACAGTTCGGAAAGTCCTACTTTACATTGAAAATAACTAATAGTACATGTAATTCATTATTAGCTCATACTTATGTACATACTTATCAGTAAGATGCCCATGTTTTGGTAATGCTACAGAATCGAAATATCAGGAATCATTTTAAATAATGTTTGTTATGATTTGGAACAGCCTTTTTTATATACATTACGATCAAAAGTAATGTCGACAGCAACCTAATTTATAATCGAGCTACAGCCTTTTCTTTGAAGGATCAAGTCTAAACAAAATCAGTTGATACTTATTCAGATTTCAGTAGAAAAGAATAAATTACGCTTTACAGCTAAAAATATTAATAATATGTCAAATTGTCCACATTGATGTGTTTAAAGACTATAATAAGTAAATTTACTTATAATTGCTAAATTACATTATCGATAAACTTACGGTTACACTAACCTGAATAAATCATCTGCAAGTTGATCTTCTTGGGCTTTCTCATCATGTGCCTTTGGAATAGAAGCATTTTTCATATTTACCCATAATAGTTATGAAAACCTTAATCGTAGAGTTTAAAAGTTGAGGATGATATGAACTAACCCTTCGTGCTTCATGTATCCAATCTCCTAAACTTGAGTCGCTACCTGCTGTATACCGAAGGAGATCATTTCCTCCAATAATGGTAGGTAAACCTACACGATCTCTTCCAGGATAATAGGACTATAGAGCAGATGTTGTTCGTATGTTAACCATAGCTACAAATTTACTTACAAGCATACAGACGCATGTACATAGTGGTAAAGCTAAAACGCTTAAGATAAAATAAATGCATCTATACCTTTCTAAATTTTTTGAAATTTTTAATGTCATTCAAAGCATCTACGTGATGTTTTGATTCTGTCCGCACAACGGTTAAATGGATTACTTTTTCTTTCGCCCTATTAAATTCTCTTTCACAATCTTCAGTATTGATTTGTTGCTATATACAGATAAGATATATAGAGTACGTATCATCAATTGAACTTTGCATAGAGGATATGCGATCAAGTGACAAGAACTAATGTTCCAAACTTACATCGGCGTATAACTTTGTGCTTAAATATCCCGGTTTGACAACTATTTCCGTAGCTGGAGGTGATGTTGGAGGATCACATTGCTTACATCCATTACGTATGTTTTCCTGCTGGGAATTCTTATCATTATCATTCAGTCCTGTCAAATTCTCTTCCTTTTTCGTCAGTTCCCTGGATTCTCCGTCAGCTTTTGAAGCCATTGATTTGTCTTCCTTGTTCACAACATTTGACTCGGTGTTGTGTGTATCATACTCCAATTTTATAGCCTTTTTTTGTGGTTCCAATTGTTCGGAATCGGTAATTTGAAGTGGTCTAAATTATTATTATTAGTGATACAAAAACACCAAATAGGAGCGCATTACTATAAAAAGTTATAGTGAGTGGGTTGCATCCGAGTTGACAGCTCATTTCATTTGGCGTCAGATTACTAAAGTCTTGCTTAAGTAAGCATTCTACTTTCCAAATAGTTTATAAGTGGCTATCAATGATATCACTGATAGAAAATTCTCATGTTTAACTATCTTTTTGCCGACTATCATAGCTCTAGTAGCCAGCCATGGATGACAGTTATAAAATTTACGCCTGCCTTTACAGCGAGCACGTATTCAGACAAGAAGCACCCACCAAGATTAATAGGCGTATAATAATACTCTGGTTTCTTTACACGTAATTGTGTATAAGGAAAGTAGTCATTTAAATATTTTCATCATTTCGCCAAGCGTATGATGCCTTTAACTGTTCATTAAAAATTGACAACAACACAAATGAAATATTTTTACCTTTTTTGCTTTGTGTCTTGTTGAGAAGATTCTATGTCTGATGTCTGATAGAGAAAAGATAATTTTATGCTACATGTGTCAACATTTAAAGTTGCTAGGAGGTAAGTTTTAATACCGTTGTACGTCGTGATGAGGTAGCTGGATCAATTGGATGTTTAGGTTGAGGAGCAGAAACTATGGAAGGATCTGACGGGTTACAATACTTTTGTGCATCGGTATGAATAACTGCTAATCCAATCTCTGAATCGGATATTAGTCGGAATCCATTACTGAGATAGAGTGAAAGAGTAAAATCTTAACATTATACAATTTATAATTTAAAAAAAAAGAAATTAGTAAGCTTTCCTATAACTTGACAGTTCGTAGGACTTACGTTAGTAGAAGACCTTCAACAGTTTCGATAAGATCTTTTTGAGCAGGAGTTAACGCTTTCATAGCGTGAAGATTGGGAGTAATGACGAGGCTATCGGTAGATAACAGTAGGGTTTGATCGATAGAATCTCTGGATTCCACAAGTCGTGTGCTGGCTCCACAGGAAGTTACGGCTTGTTTTAATCGTTGATACTACGTAAGAGAAAGTGTATATACATTAATTTTAGCTCATCCGTTTGTTAATATGTGCTTCATTATTAATTTATACTTTTTACCTGTTTATTTATTAGAAAAACGAAGGTTTTACTACTAAATATATTTTGTCTCTTAGTATTGACTTTAAATTGGTCTCTTGAAGTTACATCTCCTTCAATTTCGGATAATGTTGGCAAATAACTGAACAAAATAGGAAGACTTTACTTAAATTGTATATAGCTCTCCTGATTGTACAATGTACAGTTTGTAAGTATAGTTACATGTAAGTTTTCTAAGTTTGTAGATTATTTTGCGGTTGTACTAGTGCAGATGAAGAAGCCTTACATTTCAGGATCGATCCATTCCTTCCTTGATTCGATGCTGTTTACTAAATCTATAATATACTTTGGTGTTACGATCGGCTTGCATGAGGTTAGAGCAGATAAAACCTTAATTATAAAAAGGAAGAAAAAATTACTAATGTACACACGCTATCAAAAGGATTATCAAGGTTTACTTGAGGTAGATTATGAAGTCCTGAATCTGTAATTTACATTGATAAGGGAACACATTTGGTAAGCTTACTAAGTAAGGTGTTGATTGTAATTCTTTCAGCACAATTAATTTCACTGTACATGATACAAAGTTATGATACATAGTGCTTTAATTAGATACTACAAGTGTACAATATCAATGTACTGTATTATTGTACCTTAATTGAGATACTCTAGGTCTTACAATTAATTAATTTTTTCTATTTAGGTATAAATATTGCTTAAATGCAACAGATGATACGCTAATACTATTACTACAGTACAGATGGCTATAAATGGCTGAAGATTTCTTAGGTATTACAATATCGCGTTACCTTCACGGTGACTCGGATTTCGTTAACAACTAAATGTGTACATTCTTCAATCCAGTTATTTACATAATGGCCGCCTAAATATGGATTAAGATTGTCTTAAAGCTCCGTACGTGGTAATTATGCGTACATGAAAAATTTCGTTACAAATTTCTATAGCAAGCAAGGTAATAGCATCAAATTGATGATAACAATGCAATAGTATCTAAGGTCAATTTTGACAGTTGAATTTGTCGTACCCAGTTTTTTGATAGAAGATATCATTGAGTCTTTCTCTGCAGCATCATTTAGGCGAGACGTAGCCACGACAAACGGTTCATAAGAGATCCTAAATTATCATGCAAGCATCATTGAAAAGTTATCTCTTAATATTCGGATAGTACTATTTTTATAAAGGAACGAGTATCGTCAATTTGGTTGCAGGATATCTGATGATCATTGGCGGTAACTATCGGAATACAAGCTAGTGTAGTAATGCTAAGGCTGATAGGTCTAGTTTAACGTTGAAATCACTTTTAAGTAACAGACTCGTAGAATGTACTTTTTTCTTACCTCCATTGCTGTTGTTGAAAACCAAAACGAATTGTATCACCATCTTGTAATTGAATGGGAGAGGTTATTTTATCTTTACTATCATTCAAATAAATTCCATATTTTGAAGAATCCGTCATGGTAACTTTAGGATATCGCGAAGGATTAGTCTATTTTTAAATACGGTATACGCTTATATTTAGAATTGATTTGGACATTATTAAAGGAAAGCAAGTAAGACATGATGCCATGAAAAGCCAAGCATTCAGTCGCTCGACTTGAACGAGTACGTATGTCCAAAGTTGAAAAGTAAAGCATGATGCAATTGTAGAAAATTAAGTTGATGTTGCTTCTACAGTAACCTAGTCTGCCTTATAATGATGCAGAAGATGAACATTAAAAGTAGATCGAAAAAAGATTGATAGTAGATTATAGTCACAGTAAAGCTGATATTCCTTCTACAGTACAATAATTGGCTTTATAATAATCCAGAATGATGAAAATGAACATTGAATTTGGATTGAAAAAGTATTCAATCGACTGAATAAAAAATTAAGTTGATCTTCCCTCAACTGTATTCTGCTTTCTACAGTAACGGGTGCAGAATAATGATGAATGTTGAACGTGGATTGAAAAGGTATTGCATTGACCGGTCGAAGATTAAGCTGGAGTTGGCATGCTTCTGCAGTATACGTACGTAGTGGTCTACTTTATGTGATGTAGAGCGATGAAGATGAACATTAAAAGTAGATTAAAAAAGTATTGAAATGACTGAGTAGAAGATGAAACTGATGCTGCATCTACAGTTGAGTATTCCGCTTTCTCATAGTGCAGAGTGACGATGAAACTGATATTGCTTCTACAGTACAATATTCTATTTTGTAATGGTGTAGAGCGATGATGATGAACATTAAAAGTAGACTGGGAAAGTATTGCAATGACGGAGTAGAAGATGAAGCTGATGCTGCATCTACAGTTGAGTATTCCACTTTCTCATAGTGCAGAGTGACGATGAAACTGATATTGCTTCTACAGTACAATATTCTATTTTCGAATGGTGTAGAGCGACGATGATGAACATTAAAAGTAGACTGGGAAAGTATTGAAATGACTGAGTAAAAGATGAAACTGATGCTGCATCTACACTAGAGTATTCCGCTTTCTCATAGTGCAGAGTGACGATGAAACTGATATTGCTGCTACAGTACAATATTCTATTTTCGAATGGTGTAGAGCGATGATGATGAATATTAAAAGTAGACTGGAAAAGTATTGAAATGACCGAGTAGAGGATGAAATTGATGCTGCTTCTACAGTACGTAATTCTGCTTTCTAATGATGGAGAGTGATCAATATTAAAAAGAGGATGCAAAAAAGTACTTACTATATCGGATAAGTCATGTTCGATCTTGAATTTGGCATGAATTCGGCTAATAGAAGGTTCATTAAGTATTAACAATGAAGTATCTAGAAGAAAATGAATAAAATAGCTTGAAGAATGATCTATTAGAGGGTTGGATAGTTGATTAAGAGGTTTAATATTGCGTATTTACGTTTGCGCCCAACGGTATATTCATTGCCTGTAAGCATGTACAGCTTGTCAGCTAGCAAAGGTAAAAGAAACAACATGAGTACATGAGATAGCATACCACTCTTCTAGTCTGTAGTTGTTCTATACTTATGTCAAAGTACTCCATTGCTATTATAATAATACCTAGAAGTAGAGCATTTGTTTTTTCTACCTGAATTATTCTGGATATTTTGCAGTATCCACATTTTAGTGAGATAAATGCAAGCTTTTCCAGCTGAGCGTGCAAGCGATGGAGGTCGCTAAAATCAGGCTATCACTATGGACACGAAAGGAGAGAAGAGCTAGGATACTGGTTGTTGAGATCGACTTCTAGAGTACAGTATGGCTTTTTTGGCCTATTTTAGGCAGTTTACTGGAGATTCTGCACCTAGACTGGAGTCGAACGATGCTCATGTAAGTACGGAACGGAACGGGCCGGACCGGTACGGTACAGTATACCATCTAGAGCTCATGGCCAAACCATTGCCTACAGTACAGAGTTCGACTCTATTCTGTTTTAAATTAGAGTACAGTATGGCTTTTCTGGCCTGTTTTAGGCAGTTTACTGGAGATCCGCACCTAGACTGGAGTCGAACGATGCTCATGTAAGTACGGAACGGAACGGCACGACACGGTCCGGAACGGTACGGTACAGTATACCATCTAGAGCTCATGGCCAAACCATTGCCTACAGAGTTCGACTCTACTCTGTTTTAAACTATCGACTACTCGAAAGGAATATAACGAGCATCATTCTATGAATCGTAGGAAATAGAAATTATGTGAAAGGAGACTATGACTTATTTAATTCTAGAAAGCAGCTGCAGTAGTCTAAGGCTACAGCACAAGCAGCAACAGGATGCAGCTTGCCCAGCGGCCCCATAGGCGTCGCGTGCAGAAGCCAAAATAGTGTCACCTGTAGCGATGGGTTCTCGGCAGTACTAAAGGCACGCTCCAATGACATTCTATTTGCTAGCGATCTTACCAGAAGCCAGTATATTGCATTAAAATAGATGTCACTGTAGCGTGCCTAGCTAGTGCTAGTCAGTATAGGCTACAAGTGACATCTGTTTTACTACGGGCTAGACTGGACAATACTGTAGACACTATTAAAGGCCACGGCTAGTCTACTCGGCTGTTAGTACAGCTGTCTGTGTAAAATTGTAACGCGCCCTTGTTCCATACTATACCCTATCTTCAAAGCTACTGTAATAGTACCTACATAGTCTATAATCGAGCTCTACCGAGAGACCAACTTTCTACAGCACCAGGTGCCTCACTTCAAGAACTTGCGGCAGCAAACCAGCTGGCCTACCAGTCCAAAGCTCTATTCGCCTTGGCCGATCAAGTTTAACAACACATTCAAAGCTCTTAAATTGGGCACGCTAGATGTAAATACAGTAAAAATGGCAGATAGAAAGCAAGCAACGTGTATTGCACCAGTGAATATTGCTGTCGTCAAATATTGTAAGTTGAAAATTGAAAACTGCATCCATGATGGATTGCAGATGGATCAATGCACGTTACCATGGATTCATGCATGGATAAAGTTTATACTTTGTACAGTCAACTTTTTATAATGGATCGATTAAATTTCTTGTGTATGCATTTGGATTGCATAGTGTGTAGATGGTTGACGTCTAGATAAAATTGTACTAGCTAGCTGAGGAATGATATACAGTAGCAATAGATAGATAGATAGATAGGTTATGAGCAATCCTCCAGTATTAGAGGCATCTTTTTTTCACTGTATAAGATGATATCAATAGTGGTTATACATTCAATTCGTAACATCAAAACTATATCGTTTAGAAGTACCTTTTTCTACTATATAGGATGATATTAATAGTGGTAATAAGTTACTATCAATCCTAACCTTGAAGTATTTACTCTTTCATACGTCTATTATAGGGGGAAAACGAGATGAAAATTTAATTTTGCCTATCAATTCTTCCCTAAGTGGTACTTTGAGTACTGATCAGGTCAACCTAAGATATTACAAAGATGTTTATTCGGCATCATTAAACATTAATACGAACATATTTGTTATCATCAGTTAAATTATGTAATGATATAATGGTAGTAGTGTACTGTAGCGACAAGTATTTGCTAAGATTGGCATATATCAAACTTACACAAACGAAAAATTCTATAGTAATTGTACTGCTGCACAATGCAATAATTTCCTATACTTACCCGCAGTTGTTTTAATTAATTAATAATAGATGTGTGCAAAAACCACTATTGCAATAAGTAAATCATTCCAACGTGATCGACTATGGATTAATGGAAAGTATGTATAATGTCAAGGAATGACTTCTGAAGCTATTATTAATATCTTATTACAGTACTACCAACTCTTATACTAAGTATTTTGTAAATATACACTTGGTATGTACCGTTCACTTGTTTATTAGGTAGCTATAGAATCAATTAATTGTAGAGTGATGTAAATTGGATGTTTTGCTAATTTAATACCTATCTTTATCCTGTGCTATTAAAGGGAACAAGACGCGACTGGTAAAAGGTTACAAAATTGCTTGAGAGAGGGTGAGTTTATCACATAATGAACACCAAAGTAAACTAATATATTCTTACTGTATTTACTTCTTGTGATGTTGCAGTACCTATTGTAAAATGTAGTTGCTCTTCATGTGTGTACATTAATTCAGCTTAGACGCGGAATACGTATTCTCTACCAGTATTTTATCTGTAATATGAATCTCGTAGAATTTTGATGTTACGGTACAAGTATGATACTAAAATTATTGGGTACTTATTGCTACTTTTTCATAATTTCGTGCCATTAACTTAACTAGTAATTAATGATCTGATCAAAATGGACTACAGTTAGAAGTAGGTGTGGTAGTGAAATAGAAGGCTGCCATTATCACATCTGTTCGGTTAATAATTTTCCTACGGCTGCTGGATTAGCATCTTCTGCTGCTGGATATGCCTGTTTAGGTGAATACTTTGAATACAAAGAAGGTTCTACTAGTTACCTTTGTTAATTCACTATTCTATCTAATCTAAATCTAGTCTATACCCTCGGCCGATTGCATGACCTTAAAGATGACTTATCCATGATTGCAAGGCAAGATTGACTTATATATTTGTTATAGTTGCGGTTAACCTTTCCTAGGAATTACTAAAATACAATTTACCATTAGACAAGGTTCAGGTAGTGCTTGTAGAAGTATGTACGGTGGATTTGTAAAGTGGGAAATGGGGAATAAAAGCGATGGATCAGATAGTATTGCTGTTCAGGTTAGACGACGTTAATGATGGAGTATAAACCGGGATAAACGTCATGGAAGTTATATATTTTTAATATGAATTAGGTTACACCTGAGTCGCACTGGCCTGAAATGGAAGTCCTCATTTTAGTTGTGAGTCACTAACTAATTACGGCGATATTCAAATTTCTGCAATAGCCGCTTAATTAATAAAATCCTTGTAAATATGAATAATGTAGATTTATGCATTTTTTTAAAATGAATATATAGGTAAGTGATAAAAAGAAAGGAGTAAGCAGTACATCTGGAATGCAGACTAGTGTGAAAACAAGTAAATTATTAAAGGTTTGTGATTTTTTAGAATAATAATAAAATCGATGAAGTTGCATCATATTGACTGTTTCTTTTTAGTATCGCGCTGAGAGCTTGGTTCCTAAACTCATGACAGAAATGGAGACCGCAATCCAACAGAAAAATTATCAAGCGTTTGCCGAGATTACGATGAAGGTTTTTTTATTTTGTATAGAGAAAAATTGGAATAATTTAAATCTACGAAATCGATTAATTGCTTTATACTTATAAGATAAGAGTGTATCAATTTCATTTCGTAGGATAGTAATCAGTTCCATGCTGTTTGTCTGGATACCTATCCACCCATAGCCTATATGAACGATATTTCACATAAGATTGTTCAATTGATAACGCATTTTAATCAATATTGTGGAGAGTATAAGGTACACTTAATAATGTACATATAAAGCTTTGTAAATGATTGATGAAGGCTTCATTTTATTCAAGTATGGTTTGTATTTCCATCGCAGGCTTGTTATACGTTTGATGCTGGGCCAAATGCTGTTTTATATGTTCTAGCAAAAGATGTACCGCAAATTCTATCTGCAGTATGTCATTATTTTCCATGCACAGAAAATCATGATAGGTACTTTACAGCATATCCTGGTCATTACTTTTCTTATATTGCTTTTGTAATCTCTAAGTTGAAGTAGATTTGAGTCTGTTTCTTTGCAATGTATTGACTTGTTGCTTGATCTATTTAGCTATATTCAAGGATTATCGAACTACTCTGATGTAAAAGAATTTCCAAAGGTATTGTACCTAATTTGCTAGATAATGATCATGTGTCAGTTATTATCGTACATTGATGTAACTTCTGGGAATATGTTTTTGAATGTTGACTTTTGGAATATGTAAGGAAATCGAAAATACCATCTGTCTAGATCCAATCCCTGGCAGTCTAACTGGAATTATCCATACTCGGGTATTGTGGCATTCATTATATTTGGACTTTATAAGATTATTAGCATGATGTTACAGTATTTGGTAATTGAACTTGTAAAGTTTTGTAAGAGTTTGTTTTCTCCATTTACTAAAATCTTTCAGGTCGGTAGTGGACCACGTGTTATATTAGATGATAATGAAAGTCTTCTCGGGGGTGATGGTCTGCCAAAGTGCTAATTTGTTATCATATTCTTATTTGATTAATTAACTATATTTTAAATGTATTTGTTGATGAAGATTGTAAGAAGTTCGGTTTATTTTCTCTTTACGTACTGGTCGTCGCGTGATATGTAGTTATACATATCCGGCAACTACCGCACAAGAAAAAATTCTGAAATAACTCATTTTTTGTGATTGTTTTCTTCAGAAGTCTATACGTAATATGAATATGGGCATATCACACACTCATCCTTTAATAGTTTTGGTTATTTTAAGTCTAAGAATTGTATAGGAAACAATACAAAATTTTACTTGCATAGTATTCCAAATTTAGAAAGTGGCTTTGCAGATTTAAAATGAAGACTGCTATTGTCTTATATTTGTAATTCACCGAATTTTAATATTTTTGCTATATATCTTGGCGCGAACCACTCACATACTCATACTCTGTTCGTACAGGATTGTTAAGTGATTGCAAATATTAGTACATTAATGTTAAATACATTTTGGTGTAGTCGACATCAACAAATTATCACATTTAGTATCGGTTTCAGCCAAATACTAAGATGCGATAAGTACGCGTACCTACTTCATCGCAATAGCAATAATATATGTTATTTTATGATTTTCTTGGCACTTTAGTACTTATTAGGCTTGATGCACGATGTTTCCTGAATGGATAATGTTGTAATTTCGACTCTTTTAATAGCATTTACGATGGTTTGTGAATGACACTTGCAATAAAAATTTAAGCTTTTTATGAACTATATTGCAAGGATAGTAATTATAATCAAAGATATGACCTTATAGTTGTGAAGGACCTTGCCTGATAGATAACGATACTTATTTATATAATATGTAGGTTACGACAATTGTTATGTATTCTGCCGAATGTAGTACATACATTCTATAATATCACGGGATGGATCAATCCTATCTAGCCTTAAAGATTGTGAGACAAACTGATATAGTGATTGAGCAGAATACCATTATATACTATGCAGTAGATATTGATTTAACGACAGCTTGAATCGATTTCATATTAAAAGAGCTAATCGTGATTGAGTAGCATGCCACTATACGCTGTACATTAGATATTAAGTTAACAACGGCTTGAATCGATTCAATGCTAAAAGATCAAACGGTTTGTAGGCTTGATAATTCTATGTAAACGGCTTTTAGCTCGTACAGAAGGAGCTCGATGAAGTATCGTTACAAGAATTTGAGCTAATAGAACATAAAATTTAGTTAACGAATCTTTAATACAACAATAATATTTTAGTGAGTTAATAGGAGAAACAGGTAAGATAGAACATAAATATTATCTTCTCGATTAATATACAAACAGAAATTCGACTGTTTGTTAGTTTAAAATATAATATAGTTCACAAATAAAATTAGCAACAATATAAAAAGATATACAATAAAAGATTTCTAACGTATTTTTAGACGGCATTAGCAGTCAATTATACACGATTAAAGGCTTATTGTTCGACAAATTGGAGTAAGAGCTAAAAACAATAGTGCATGCTTCCATACTTAACCACATTTACAATAAAGGTAACTTTCTAATAATAGTAGGATTAACTGCCACCATCAACGTAAAATCATTTTAAGCCAAGAACATCATCTGTTACGAATTAAAAATAATTAAGATTACTAAATTGCAGCTGCTGTCGCTACTCTATCTGTTTCTTCAGTTTGTGCTTTAACAAGTGTAATCATTTCAGCAACCATGGCTGATAGATCGTATTCATGTTGCCATCCCCAATCACGACGAGCATTGGAATCATCGAAAACTTCTGGCCATGAATCAGCTGTGTAAGTATTAAAGAATTAAAGAGCGTTTCATTTTTTCGAATTATTTATAGAAGCGCATTAGAGGCATGAATTCAGTACTACATAAGCTAGATTTTAAGTTGAGAATGAGTACCATTTACAAATAGTTGTACCTATTGCTTGACGTGCATCTGGCTCATATGATATCTCAAAGTGTGGTACGTATTTCTTAATTTCATATGCCAATTCCTCCGGAGTGAAACTCATAGCAGTAACGTTATACGTCCTCATTCTGAATGTTTCATCCGGTGCCTGGAGAATTTCAGCTGTAGCTCGAATGCAGTCTGGCAAGTACATCATTGGTAAACGGCTATCTTTCCTTAAATAACACTTATATTTACCGGTTCTCAAGGCGGCATAGAACATTTCAATAGCATAATCTTTGAAAAGCAGTCATTTTAAGAAATGTATTAATAAATTAAAAGTCTATGTCAGGATTAAAGACTATGATTGCTAACGTGATAATCTAAGTATTAAATAAGAATATTTTTGCAGCTTATCATAATTAGAACGGATTAAATTTAACATGGTTACCTGTAGTACCACCTCCAGGCATTCCAGCAGAAATGATACCCGGATATCTTAAAGATCTAAAATCAACTCCGAACCTATGGTGGTAATACTATAGCAATCGAAAGGATACGATTATCATGCAGGAAGTGGTAAACGTAGTTACAGACCTAAAAGTAATAACTAGTTTATACCTCGCCAAGCAACTCCATGTAAACTTTAGAGACTCCATATATAGTTCGAGGCCTCTGAATTGTAATATCTGGCGTTGGATTACGTGGTGAATCGGCTCCAAATGCCCCAATAGTGCTAGGACAGAATATCCTCAATCGATATTGCCTGGCAATATCAATAACATTCTGGAAGCCATCAATATTAACTTGCATAGCTAATTCTGGATTTTGTTCACCAACAGCACTTAGTAATGCACTATAATGAACTAGCCAGTCAACTTTGTTCTCGACTATACATTTTTGCATATCATTCTTATTGACAACATTGATATAACAAAATGGCCCTAATATAGATATAAGAATAAAGAACTCGATAATTACACGATAGCTTATTAATTGAAAGTAGTTGAAAAACCACAATTAAAGAAGTTAGATCAATGAGGCTAGGTCTCAATTATATTTTAAATATATTGAGATAACACCGTTGATGATTTAAGAATGTTTTGCTATTGATGGTGCTAAATTTCTTTCCAATTTGACTTACCATCATGGCTTTCTTCATCTGTTGGCTTATTGATATCGCTATTGATAATGCTATCATTACCGTATAGTTGCCTATAATATATATATGGTATATAATTAAGGTAAGGTTAACTTGTGATCTAATAGGATGATAAAAATTAAAATGTTTAATATTACATATCTAATTTAATTGTTTGACCTTAGTCGAGATGTTAATGCGCCACCCAATTGGCCCTGACCACCTAATTGTGAAGATGGATAGATATTTTAAAAAATTGAGTCTATAAAGAATTAAATTCACCATTTACAGGAATATTTTTAACATAAAGTATTCCTAGTTCATGTACATATTACTTCATTCATTGGCTTGGCAATGCTAGCTGCTAGATTACTCCTAAATTAACCCTTAATTTATCCGTAACTATGGATTACTGCTAGTATAGATCTTAAAAAGTCTCCAGTCTATAGGGATACTTTTTACGATGCGATATACTCGTATTTCTTGATTAACCCTTAATTTATCCATAACTATAAATTACCGCGAATATAGACCTTAAAAAAGTCTTCAGTCTACATTATATATTTTATAAATCATTATAATGTGGTATATTTCCAAATCGATATACAGGCTATTTCAGCAGTTTGATAATGTCACAGATTACTTGTAGTTGAACTCTTAATTTATTTATAACTATAGATTACTGCTAGTATAGCTCTTAAATTGCTTAGAGCTAATAAAGATACTTTTTACGATGCAATATATTTCCTAACTGATGTACACACTATTTCATCGGCCTTGTGCAGTAATCCTGTGCGGCGAATAAAATTTACTCTACAGACTATACAGCGTTAAACATTAGTCTACCTAGAACAATAATTATTAACTTGATGGTAATTGTCTACGTTAATAAATGAAAATAGCTAACTTAAAATCAAGCCTAACTTGAGTATCTTTACAGACAGTTGCTTTCTGTCACGCGATTGCTTATTTTCCTACGACTAGCCGAAATGTAAATAAACATAGATGATCGAGATCAGGCAAACGTTAATTAAATGAATAACTTTGTCGGAAAAGCTGTGATATCAAATTTGTTAACTTGCAGTAGATGAGATCAGCCTATAACGATCAATAGCAATAGTGATGATGTTTACATATCTAACTACTGTAAGCATAAATTGGGATGGAACTTTCTTTTCTTGTTGCAGATATTCCATCAAGGCAAAGTCGAACGAATCGACTAGTTCTGAACTTATAACGATATCAAATATACAGACTGGTGATTGCGCTATTCCATCTAGCGTAGTATTTATAGAAATAATAACCTTACCGTTAGAATTGAACTATGTACTGTAAAACATGCATAATATAACAATTTAATCGATGATTGACATTCAATTGTGGCTAAAATAACATAACTACTTGACGGGAAGACAATAAAATATTCGTGCCGATCATCGTGATAACTGCAGGATGCCTGCATATTACCTTGTTCGATGGCTACAAAAAGATTAACGATCAAAGTACAAGAAATCAATGAGGTCAGCTTCAATTACGTTTAGATATCTGCAGAGTTTTAGGATTGAATTTAAAAGGGTGCTATGTCACTCACATCCATTATAATTAATTATCAAGTCGATGGCTAATGAATGAACTGTAATATCTGATTGAGAAGAAAGTAAGGTAGAAGAATATACCTGTGACGAGAACTCTTGGATGAGAGTGGCTATAAGCTTGATGAGATAAATTATGATGATTGCTAGTAAATCGTAGTGCATGTTTTGTAGATGTAGGGCTTGCAAGAGCGCTCTTGAAAAAAGTTTTCCAGCTATGACGAATTCCTGTTGTCAGCATACTGATTGATCTTTCCTATATCTTAAGGCTATAACGAATCCTATGGAAATAGAAACAATGTGTTATTACGATAATCTACCAGAAGTAAAATAATTGACATAGATTTCTTATCCATGATTTACAACGAATGAGTATAAGGAACGAATAGACCATTTGCAAAGAATTGTATTCAACACTTTAGCTTAACGATTAGTTGGTAGTACGAGGTTGAATAGAGAAGCAAATAAAACTTGACATGCAATATTTTATCTTTATCAGCGTTTAAAATTATTATATCATAGAATTATGAGATAAAATGATCATATCCAGTACTGTAAGATGGTCAGGAAGTAATGAATATCCATGACTTTAAATTAGTTGTAGTAAAAAGTGGACTTTCCTAAACGAAACTACAGTAAGCTAGCGCATGAAGATAAAAAAATCGAAGAGATTACGTTGTAAAAACATTTCGTTGCGTGCTAGACCGTCTACCGTAGACATGATGGGAAAATGAATATAAATTGTTTTAATAACAGGATATTGGAGTCAATGCTTTAGTAAAATGTTTCAACATCTGCTAGCATAATTAGATTTATTTAAAATTGATTGCCATTAGATTTATTGGTTTATTCAACTCGTACAAATTATGGTATGGAATTGGAATGGATATTATTTGACAAATTACTAGTGCAACAACTGAAAATTGTCTGCAGCCGTAGACTGTTCGATCTCTTTTTGAATTATTTACAGTACAGCATCATTAACAAAATAAAAGTGTTGCAATAAGAGTAAAATACAGCCGTGAGGTTATAAAATTGACGATACAAGGTGAAGAGAAAGATGGTATGGTTCAATTAGCAGAAAACTGGTCAATTTTACTTATGGCTACGTCTTTTTCAGTTTGGCTGAAGAGTGATATTTAAACAACTCGTGTTGAAAGTAGATCTTACTATAGCAACATAAGTGTGCTTTTAGTCATTATTCATGATATTACAGTACTAGTAAAGTATTGGATAGAGCTATTCAAAGATACTTTTTATTCTATATTATAACTCATTTTATGCTAGTTGAAATCGATCTGTATGGCGTGATAGCTCTTTCGAAATTGAGAAAGTTGCAGGATCAAGTGTAGCGTTTCAATTTGTGAAAGAAGGCAATTCTTAACTGATGGAATAATACGATATGTTGTTTAGGATAGCGATATTAACGACAATTTCTATTCTATTAAATATCTCATTTTACACCATTTTGATCGTCTACACCATCAAAGCTGTGCTATGCCCCGCTTAATAACTCCATTGTTGTCTATACATTTTACTATACGATAGGAGTTGTTGATGGATCGAACAGTATGATGGGAATCATTGGCTAGCATCGAAGCGTGGACGATGATTTCTGATCTACCGTACATCAGATCTAATTTTATCCTATCTAGAGAGTAGATACAATAAAAGCTTTACGAAGGACTACTCGAAATTTCTACGTAGTCCATTTCGAGTAATGTATGCCTTTTACTATACCACACTTGATGACTCCATTATTGTTTCATTATTAAAGAGGGCAGTTGCTAATGGGTGGACAGAATGGTTGCTAAAGCAAGGCCGAATGATCATTTTTATCACCCATCAATTTCACTTTTAGAAGATGTCGTATAAGAAATATAGCGATTACTAGCAATCATTATACTATATCTAGTTGTGGTTTCTATTTAATAGGCCCTATTGCAAACCAATAACCATGTAGAATTCGATTCCCGGATAAGGTAAAGAGAAGATTCTATTATGCGCGAATGAAGAACCATGGTGCACGTTTAATTCATTTTCACAACATATCATCATAAACAATGTAAAGTACGTAAGCCTTGCTTGCAAAGATTGTTGATGATCATCTCGACACGATAGTGATGCTCTCCAAGATGAGATGGAACGTGTAATCAATTTACTCTAATTGTACAACAGTCTCCTTGACGATGATTAAGCATGAAACCGAGCGATGAAAATTAGTTTTAACCATCGCAATTTTACATCATGATAATCGATTACCTTGCTCTAATAATGGTTTAATTTCAGGCTTGAGGGGTAATGTTAGGCCAAGTATTTTCCGTCTTGCTACTAGTCGATGAAATTTGCCAGTCGATCAATGGCTGTAAGACTAGCTAAGTTCTCCCGTGGGCTTTTCGATGAATTTTATTCTTTCTATTTACTATATCGATTAAATATATATTGATGATGGGATAACGTGATGCTTTCGACTTTTACTACTCAAACGCTACTTGATAAAATAGACTTTTGTATAGTGTAGACGACGATGAATCATACGCTTGACGGATTGAGCCTATAGTTTATCATACAAAATCCGTATTCGTGGTTAATTTACTATCAATAGAAGCCATGTTTGGGTACTTGTGTAGCTGATGGCTTTTAAGTGGCTGCCTAGGGACATACCCACCTTATATAAACAAAAAACGCATCGCACATGCGTAGTACTGCGATCAGAACAGTCCATTTGACACGTTTGCTTTCCATGTGTGGGCTAGCAGTTGGAGCTCTCTAGTGGCGCTTTCCAGCGTCCAAATCGGTCAATAATCCTCATCGGACTATTGAATAGCTCTAAAATGAACGACTACAGTATAATTAAAAGCTTTCAAAGTCATTAAATACATCATGGACTATTAAATACGTCATATAATCATCCATTCTGAAAGAAGTAAACACCATCGATATATTTAGCAGTCAAGGGGTTTCAACGCCCGTTGGCACCATCTGGTAGTTTGCTAATGTTGACAGTAACAACTCGTAGACTACTGAATGCATCATCGTATACACCATCAGCTCTACATATATTTCATCAACTGCTAAATGTGTCATACTAGATAGACGAATCTATCATCGTATCATGGACTCCGTAGTTACTGGTAATAGTTTACAGATGTCCATTTGTGGGCTGCCACATTCTTTACTTCGCTACGTGTGTACACCAACTGCTAAGCATAATTATAATACAGTTTGCTATGACCTACTAGAAATATCATTGACTATGTATATCTACACGTTGGTACTATCATGAACCTCTAGATACTACAGCATACAGCCATATACTGTAATTGGTCTATAGATACTATATAGTATCTAGTGGTATCTGGTACTACTGCATGCAGCAGTTCGCAGATGTTGACTCATGTACATGTACTGTACATCGTAAGCGCTAATAATCTAATTACTACTGTAGTCCAATATAACTTCACACAGTTTTAAGCATTACAAGTTGCACTCTTTATTCGCTCTTTTTCTCTATCTGCTCAATCTATCATCAACATCACAGATTGTTAAATACACCATATGTTGGACAGTATATCCGTGTGATGATCCAAGGTAGTAGAGGTATCATACTGTAAATATCATTGACTACGTATTTCATCGTTAGCACTACACAGCAGTTTGCAAATGTTAACTTATGATTGCTAAGTTCACTACGTGCGTCATGAGGTCTAAATAGATCGAATACGTATTTATTGGGAGCTGTAAATAGTATTGAGTAAATACTGTACAAGTGTACATCTTCTACATCAGGAACTGTTAAATGCATCATATATTAATTGTATAACACTAGTAACTGGATATACATATTACAAATACTACCAGTGCAATACAATAACGGGTCTAGCTCATCATAATAGGATTATAGCCTCTATTTCTTAATAATGCCTATCATGTACTTTATCCGGGTTTACAGGCCGAGTGCTGCTTTAAAATTAGTATTACTAGTACAAACTCCCGTCGCTTTGCTGACGGTTTACGATAATGTGCTCATTTAACAGATAGTATTACCATTTGATAGACCTGTCAGAGGCTCAGTAACTTTATACCGTGTACTAAAGTGCCTATTTACTATGATAATTGGATTCTACTAAATGCACCGAGTACAATATGAAGTCTGGATATCAGTAGCAGCTCTAAATATATTGTATGTATATTATAAAATTGCTAAAGACATCATGCACTGTATGCTATGACCTACCAGTACTACTAGATGTATCATAGGCTGCGTATTTACAGGTTGGCTTTATGTAGAGTTTGCAAATGCTACTTAAATGAGCTATAAATGTATCACAGGCACCGTGAGCTCTCAATACGTCGTCTATATCATGAACTACTAAACACGTACATCAAAAAAAACATAGATTACGTATTTGCGTGATTTAATAAGTCAATAAATTTCAAAATAGGCGTAACTGGTTAATTTAAAACATCGCTGTACTGTAAGTGGACATAAAAAATACATTATTACATCTTAAATGACAGTGTGTTAAGTTGAAAATGCAATACCTACTTAAAGCTACTGCAAAGATAGGTAGGCAGTTTATTTATAAACTATGACAGGCAACACTTGTAATTATTTAATAACTTGTATTGTAGCACAGTAGATAAATACATAGATACTTTCATCAATGATACAAATTCTGTGAAATCATAGTACTCGTTTAAAAGATATCGTTTATTTCTTTTTAATACGACCATAAGTCATACTTGTTTTTCAGGTTTTCAATAATTTATGAAAGTTTATCGTATAGATGATGTAAAAATGTATTAACGCGAGTTAAATAAAGTCAAATTTTTTCAAAATACCTGTACAATCACTAATTATTTATCCTAATAGTACAATTAATATAATTTATTTTACAAGCTGTAAGTTATCAGGGAAAAAGTAAATTATTAGATTGATATCAATATTTTCCGAAAAACTTTGCCTCCTTGGAAATGGATTTATTCGTTAAGCTTGGCTCTATAGAGTCAATTGGTTGAGTATTTTCCAGGTTACTGGTCAGTTTGGCTACTTTGAAAATAATCGGCTGTCTTAAATAATTCAGGAGGTTGCCAATTTTTAGTGGGCATTTTCTGGTTGGGTTGTTGCGAAGATTTTTTCCGCTAAGAGTATTATAAATATATACGGTGAATATTATTTAGTTTATATTTATGGCGATGGAAAATTTTAAATTGGATAGCTAAGTCAATAGAATGGAATGCAATTTAACTAAGAATAGATTACGACTTCTAAGTATTGTTTTTTAAAAGTTTCTATGATATGACGCAATAAGCTCTAATGGCATGACTAAATTATATGATTAAGCAAAAAACAGCATAAATGTATACAGTAAAAATGTAGTGTGGTGAGAGTATCTAAGTATCATCTATTCTCTACTTGTGTTCGTGTATAGTAAACAATTGCTATTTTATGCAGCCCTGATCAAAGTACATATAACTCTAGGCACATAAAATATCGATAAGTTTCAAATGTAAGAAAGGTTTTACATTAACCGATTATTAATTATGCGGCAATACGTACAGAAAACAATCCAGAAAGTGGCAGCGAACTTAGAGCTTTCTTAAAAGTATTAGTATCAAGCTCCTTTTCTGCTAATTCTACACGTTCTTCAATAGCATCAACATTGCTCCTGACAATACTTACGAATGCCTGAAAGAGATACACAAGTTCTTATATTGTAGTATATAATTATAAAGTTTAATCATTAGTTATTAGCAAAAGTTATTGTCGCAACGTCTAATCTATGTGGATCTATCCAAGTTTTAGTCGGTGGTATATTTTTATAGGAGTCGCATTATTAATCCTGTATTATAGGAAGGCTTAGCATAAGTTTTCATTCTATATACGCATATATCTTAGTGGAGAGGTCGACAGTACAAAATTTGATACATAAAGATTTTACTAGAAATAGTAAATAGATAGTTATGTCATTGTATGCGATTGAAGACTTTTGAGGCCAATAAAGATCGAAAAGCTTAATTGAGACAGTTATAGTATCGTTCTAAATGGGTATTTTTCATCCTATAAAAATTTATGATATATTGCTAACACTAGCTAAAATATACCTCAAGTTTTTCAACCTTTTCAAAAACTTTATTCATTTCCATACATTTACTCTGCAATTCGGGTAGATATCCTTCCGTTACACTTTCAGATTCTTGCCGCACCTACAGTAAATACAAACAAACGAAAGCGCAGCTGAATGAGGGGTCAACAGTTTGATTTTAATTTAGGAGCAAGCATTTTCAAATGCAGTTGAATTCAATTCTTAGGAATCTTTACCTGATCTAGTAGGCTACTAAATTCATCTAATCTTAGCAACATCGATTCAACATTGCCTTCCAATTTCTTAATCTATAATGCGATGAAAATGGCATATACAATGACTCGATTCAAGGCAATTAAAGTTGCTAAAAGTAGGAGATAGACGTATGTTTTAATTAGATATAAAGGAGTGACTTTAGCCCAAGATAATTTAACCTACTGTATTACAGAAGCCATTTTTACTGTATTTATTATAAAGCTTGTGACTGCTGATGCACGATATAAATAGCTTGAACTTCTTTAATTTGAGAACCTTTAAGCATTCTAAATAATTTTAAATATCTACATCGATCGTAACTGCTGTTATGAATGTGGAGAATTGAGAATCTGTGAATTTCAGTAATCATTAACTTTGCAACAAAATTGAGTACCATTTCTGGTGATTCTTATAATAATTGTGGGCCTGGGCAATTTGATAGTATTCCATTAGGGTTATCTAGCGTTATTCCATGACCATCATGACTGAACTCAAGGTAAAGCTACTTAGCATATTCCATGGTAGAGGCATCTCACAATCTGTGTAAGTTCGTATATAAGTGTTATTAGCTGTATAACAAATACCGTAATGACAATTATGATTTAGCCTAAGATAGTTTACCTAATATACTCTACTATCGTAGTTCTATGAATCTGTGTCGATTTTAGAATCAGTAGTTCTAAACCCCCTAACATAGCAGTAAAGTTGATTAGGTCAAAATGGCAACATTTCTGATGATGATTCTTGTAATAAGCTCAAGCTTAGGCGACTGGATAGATCCCACTAAGGTTCTTTAGCATCATCCCATAACTATCATAACTTGACGCAAAATAAGCTACCAAATATACTCTGCTGTGATAGTTCTATGGAACAATCTGTGTCGATTTTAGAATTAGTAGTCTTCAATTTTTCCATTATAATTATAGCAGTCAAGTTGAGTAGGCCAATATTTCAACATTTCTGATGATGCTTGCAATAAGTGCAGACGTAGGCAACTGGATAGTATTTCATTACGATTATTTAGCATTTATCCCATGACCATTACACCTTAGCTGGAGATAGTCCATCTAATATACCTTGCTATCGTAGTTTTATGGGATAATTTGTGTCCAAATTTAAAATAATTTAGGAAGACTCTTAAAGATCAACCTTCCAACTTGATTTTCAAACTCAATTGTTTATACAGAGCATCAGCAATCATAAGCTTAATACCGGATACATGAAAGATGATTGTTACAATACTGTGGATCTGGGCAACTCGATAGTCTTGCATTAAGGTTATTTTAGCGTTATTCCAAGGCAATTATAGCAATAATTATAGCAATAATTATTATCAAAGGACAACCAATAAGATTAGCACTAGCGCTGCAATCTGCCTCAAATATCGCTCACTCGACTCGGTTAATGCTAATTCTAATCGTATCTTTCAACTGGTATTCACAAGCTACAACTTACTTGGCCATCAACGTTAACAACTGGGTAAGTAGCATAGACTTCGGACAATCTATTGGCCATTTCTTCGGTGGATAATTCCATTTCCTCTACATCATCGCTGCCATCAGCTGCCGTCGCCATGACTTCTTGACTATACTGCAGTACTGTACGTTTACGGCGATATTCTTATACTGTATTGTAGTATACTGTATAATACCGTACTGCAATCGATTGGCTATACCATAACGCTAAGTTGAGTACGTCTTACAGTAAATTCTATCCACCTGCAATGATTAGATAGAAACTCTATGGTGAGCAATGCTGCATGCTATTGTATGCTCCGTACATGATTACACGCTCGTATAATCTCCTTCAAGTCAATGCACGACCAGCTAGTAGTATGAAGATTTCTTGCAGATAACAGGAGCGAGCTGCTGCTGCTGCTGCTTCAAAATGGCGCAGCATTTCTGCTCACGACTTGCTTAAAATTGGATTTACTTCACTATTTTTCATGCTTTCAAGCTCGAATAGATCGCTTTAAGATAGATCTTAGCTAGTATTAGCAGAAGATTTGGATATAGACTTTTATCGAGCAGTAGATAACTACCCTTGTACGTGAAATATCTTGCTATGCGATCGTAATGAAATCAGCTAGGAAGAAGAGCTGAATGAAATGCTTTTACGACCTAGGATTAAACGAATTGGAGTCGATAGAAGAGTAGAATAAAAATTGGAGAAGGAAAATGACTTCAGAAAAGACATTTGATGCTCAAAGTTTAATCTGTGTTGAGTGTGGTTGCCCGATAGAAAAATTATTTAAAATTTTCTCCAATGGCGCCTCCAGATTAGCCATTTGCAAGTATTGCAAAAAGGATGTGGATAAATATGTGGAATATGATGCTATGGCGCTATTTGTTGATTTACTACTTCATAAAGCAGCTGCTTACCGGCATTGGTTATTTAATAGTCAAGTTAATTTTCATTGGAGATTAACTGCTATAGGTTGCTTATCCGATGCTTATGCTCGTCATTATAATACCAATCTCTCTGTCAGTGGACAAAATGATTATTTCAAGCTAGAGTTACGTTATTATTATTATTTTATCATTTCCACCATACTCTTTATACTGTCTTTCCAACTCATGTATCGTATTGTCGTTTACTTGCCTACTTTAACAACATACAAACAGCGTGATAGAAAGATTGTTGTTCGTGGTTTATTGCTAGCTAATTTTGGCAAATTATTTATTCTATGTGCTGCCATTTGGGGTAGAATTCCTACTTCTGAGCGAAGTGATCTAGAATTGAGCACTGTTTACCTCTACATGATATCGTTATTGGTTATATGTTCCAACGCAGAAGCTATTATGGTTCTACTTGAATCCTCCTATATTGTGGCCATTTGTATTACAGTGAGTGTTATGATTATAAAAAATTGCATAGGCTTCCTGTTAGAAAGAGTGATCCCTTTGGACGCTTTTGAACGTTTTATGCTTTCATTATCATAAATAGCGGTTAAGAAATAGACTTATATCATCATTATGCAATAACTTTAATATACTGTAGATAGACAAATAGAAATGGGGTCGATTGCAACCTGTTTGTTATAATGTAGAAAATTCTATATGTTATCGCTATCGTTATATGTACAATGTACATAAGAAATACATTCAAGTAATTATTATGCTATAACTTTAAAATAGATATAGGAACAGAATATGAATCGATCACATTAATTCTGTATGCTATCATTATAATATGGGAATAGGAAATGCGTTTATATAGTTATTATGCTATACCTCTAATATAGATAAAGGAACAGAAATATGGATCGATCGTTTTTATTCTATATGTTATCATAATTATCATCACTTGCAAATAAGAAATGTACCCATGTAACTATCGTATACATTTAATGTACTGTAAATCAAAGAATAGAAATATAGATCGATCATATGTAATTCTATATGCTATCATTATCATCACATGCAAATAAGAAATGTACCCATGTAATTATAGTGTGCATTTAATATAGATAAAAGAACACAAGATAATATAGATCGATCACATTAATTCTATATGCTATTATTAATTATTGTCATATGTCAATAAGAAATACTTTCAAGAAAATGATTATGGTATACTTTTAATATAGATAAATGAATAGAAATATGGATCGATCATTATTTGTTGTAATTGTAGACAAATACTACGTATATGCTGTCATTATCATCATATGTAGGTAAGAAATGCACTCGTGTAATTATTTTATCATCATGATATAGCTTCAATGTCGATAGATAAATAGAAACATGGATCAATCAGAAATCGTTATATCATAGAAAATTTAATTTGATATCGTTGTCATCATATTTAGATAAGAAATACGATTATGTAATTTTTTATTGTCATTGTATAACTTCAGCATAAATAACCGAATAAAATATACATCAATCGTAACCTATCCTAATCGTGGGAAGCTCTATATGCCATCATTACAGTTATCATCATATGTGAATAAGAAATATACTTATATGATCATTATACAATAGTCGATATAGATAGACAAATAGAAAGATGGGTCAATCATAACCTTTTGTAATCGTAGATGACTTTATATGCTATCATTATCTTTACATGATAAGATACTATTTTATCATCATAACTTTATCCTATTAACCGATACCATGTCAATATAAGACAAGATATGAATAAACAAATATATAGTAGGTCTAAGTATCATCATCCCTGCTCTACCAATGTTCTTAGTCGTCTAAAAATCATGAAAGACAGGAGAGATTCAGTCATTAGTGTATTGTTTGACTCTTGTCTGGCTTAATTAATCTTGATAGTGATTGCATTAATAGTTGATCTTGCTAGTGAATGGCCTACAACATAAGTTATGATAAGTATTTGATTTTATAATTTAGTAGCTCAGCAGTTTCGTTTTATGTGTCTTGATGTATTTAGCTACCTAGTTTTAATCTCATCCTCGGCTATTAAATCATAATGTCTTTGCAGTAAATTTATAATATTGCTTGCTAGGGTATCGGTGATTTAAGAACTTGATTTGCTCAAGAAACTTTGATTCAGGCATTTTCCAGTCCTTTAATCAAAGAATTTCAAATACATTCAGAGAAATTGCTGTTCTATGTTACTATGGCAGTATACTGTAAATTCGTAGGTAGTACTGAATTAGCTTATGTATTCGTCCGTGTTTACAGTTAATAAAGTTTGCAAATGTTATGCGATAATTGTGATTTTGTAATTTATTTATGATACAGAAATGAAAATGCAATCTGTTCTAACTGTGCTCCCTTCAACAGTTATTATTTAACTTAGTATTGATGTTTATGCCATACCACATATATTTCCTGGTAAACGATGATCGTAAACTAGAAAATAGTCAGATACTGTTATATAAAGTACCCCATACTACACAATACAACAAAGGAGTTCACCTATATGATTCTAAATGTAAACTCACATATCACCCTAACTTTGGTATATACCTGTGATGGAAATTATTTTATTACTTGAAGAAACCATACAGCAGTAGCTGCAGTGCTGTCGTATCAACACTTATATAGAAGATTAATGCATCATAAAATATAAGCTACGCAATTCGAATGTTGCTAACTGTATAGTTTTACGAGTATAATACTCATAAGTCATATATGACATATGTGCTACTAAAAGATTACCTTCTAGTAGTCTATGTATATGCCTAACCGAATTCAGTTAAAAAAACTAGGCTTGTGACATAAAAATTCTACGAACAGTACTTTTAACGAATAATAAATGTTATAATTAATTCTTTTCACTTCAAATTTATAAATATTAAGCCTTAAATACAGTTTCCTATAATTAATAGTTACTGCATTGCATTGGAATGGTAACAAGTATATTAAAACAATTTTGGTATTCCTTTAACATACATAATTGCCAAAAATATGCAAGGCATACGGTTAGATAGAAAAGTGATACCGATATAATACTCTCCTTAATGGCATTTCAAAATAATGTAACTACATGGTGCCAGTCTCATCGTTTTGAAAATTGATATTTACAATTTATAGCAATCTCTTAAACATAGATAGTGTTATATGTTAGTTAATATCAAACTGTACGAAAAAAATTTAAAGTAGATCGTGAACATATCACCAAACGTGAATAGATATTTGCATTTAAAATTCATATTAAGAGTTAAAATGTTATAATAAAAATAATATTACAAAAAACGATCAATCACAAAAGTACATCATTGTGAGTAGCAATAAAAAACAGCTAAAATTTTCATGAAAAATTTTTCGTTGATAAGTTAGAATTACGGTAAACGTACGCATGCATTTACACAGATTATCATTGTCTTTGCTGTTTATAACAATAATATTAATGCTTAAAAATTAAACTCAATATGTAATAAATGGCTAGGCCATCGCAGTTATCTCAAAATTATCGATTTAAAATATAAAATGACAGTAGGGAAATTATAGGAGCATTATAATTTTATAAAGATACACAAATGTAAGAAACGGACCTATTAAAATGTTATTGTTATGCAGATGATAATACTGTAGAATCCAATTTTAAGTCAGTTAAATTTGATTTTAGATAAGCAATTATCTCATGTGAACCGCTTTCATGAATATAATCCAACGATAATGAATGGATATATCTTGCGAGTGATAAATTAGATGACTTAGGCATTTTGTTGTTGCTTCAGTAGGGCAGCAGTTATAAGATCTTCGTTATCTATACCACCTTTGATAGTTCTTCGCACTAGATTTTAATAAATTGTAAATAAACATAAAATACAAACGTATTGGCATAAATTGTTTATAACTTTATGTAAAGTAATAATTCACTAGTTTATATTGTAGTAATTCTCTCTACTTCTTTTAGATGTCAAAAATACGAATACTTGCAACTACGCTTACTTGATTTACGATCCTTATGAGCGGTTTTTTTACGTGGTCCTCTTCCACTTCTAGGATTTTGTTTAGATGCTGTCTTGACAATTTCATCTAGTACTGCATCATCGGCACTATCGCGTGATAGGCTACTATCTCTTACTTGATTCGTTGCTAAATCTTTTCTGCGCCTACGGCCTAGACCGCCTTCCGATACATTGCCCTTACCAAGTACATTTTCAAGAGCACTTACGTTAAGAGCTTCCTTTGATGTGGGTCTTATTTTATTGTCCTATTGATGGAAATTACGGATCATTAATGTATTAATACAATCTAATATTGGAACCGAGAAGATTTTTGTAGCCAAGATTTTAATAAAAACCTTCTCATTATATTTGGTACAATTCGTTTCTAGTGTCTGTATGATACTTACGTCTGTAATTAATCTTCCTCTAGTTTCGCTACGTTTACGTTGGACTTCTTTCTTTCGTGCTTGGTCTAGTAACTTTCCTTTAACAGTTTTATATTCTAAGGAAAACTCGGTTACAATTTTCAAGAAGTCGTTGATCTAGAAGGGAAATAAAAAATGGAAAATACTAAGTTCTAGCGAACATCCGTTATGATCATTTTCGCGATAGATTTAAATTTGAAAAGGATTTGTTCATATTTACCCTCATATCCTTAACGATGCTTTTCGTAAATCCATAAAAAAGCAACAGATTATTGAATCTAAGGGTAATTGATATACATATTAGCTCTGAATAAATGATAATTCATCACATTGGATTCCAATTTCACTATCTTTAACTTTGCGTAAAATTAGATAAGCATTCACATATCGCTATTGCTTCAAATAATTCGTTATAAATTATATTACCGATTTAATATCCTTGTATAAACAACTTTAAGAACAAGTAATCGTTCGCCAACATCGGTAAGAAATTCTGTCATGCTAGAGGTAAGAAGATCGAAATCAGTTATCAGAATTGTTGTACCATTATTAAATTAGAAGTAAAGAAGGGATATTTTTGCTTTAGCTTAGTTCCTATTGTTGAATCTAGTATATATTATTGTATTTCTTATAAATTTTAAACGTTCTACTAAATCTAACATAGGTTTTATTGATGATTTTGAGTCATGTTTGACTATAGCTCGTAAATAAATCCAAGCCGCCTTGCAGTCTTTCTCTAATTGAACTAAGCCAATTTCGAGTTCTTCGAAATCCACCTACACGTACAAAATAGATAATTTGAGACACACAAGATAAACTTATGGCAATGATATGATCGCTTCAAAATCGCGATGTAAGCTATTATAATTTTTATTGTTGGATTGTTAAATTTACGTCTAAGAAAAAGGCACATTAATTAACGCTTAAGATGCAATTTCACATCTATACGTTACTAAGCGACACGTAACATGATACCTTAGCAGATCGGTGTAAGGCACCAAAATCACTGTATAAATCTGAACTGTCAGGATATTGACTCATGACAATTTTTGCCACGTGCGTTAAAAGTGACTGTTTGTTAGTTGTAGTATCTTTGATTTCTGGTATCTTAGTCAGATAATTCAGGCTAAAGCCTGCAGCCTAAAACATGCACGAAATGACATAGTTCGTGTCATACTTAGAAATAGCCATAAAAGAAATAAAATATTTAGTATCGTTTTTTATACTTACATTTTTCCCATTTAAGGTATTGCCAACAGTCAGAATTGTAGATAAAGTATATTTAAATGTTTCAGATTCTTGCAACTGCTTAAGACCTTGCTTCAAGTCCATGAGTGCTTCAGCAGCTCCCTATAATTGATTAATTAAAAAATTGAACACAGTCAAACCATAATCCACGGCTAAATATATAGAAATTATTCTCTAAAAAGAGTTATTCATAATTGGTATAGGCACATTACATATTTTATGTATAAATGATTTGTATATATCGTATTTAAATAAGATTGCAATTTATCCAATGTGTATTTTATTTTCATGTAATACTACGTATACGCGTATAAGTACTTCTCTCAGGATATTAAAAATATATAAATGGCACCTTAAGGCAGAAATTTCGAAACTTAGGAATGATGATTTTAATATTTAGTGCTAATAATTGACTAGATGGAATAGTAGGGTAGCTATAATATTTTAACATCGGAATAAAGGCTAAATCATGATCGACTAATGATAAAGTATTTGATCTACAACCTACAAATGACCTACCTTTTCGATGATACCGTAATCAATCTTAAAAGCCCATAGTCTTAATCGAGCTTCCAGCTCCGGAATTGTTGATATAGTTTGTAGAAAAGCTTCAGCTGTAGCTAGAGGTATACCAGGATTTTCTACCACTGCTTCAGCAATTTTAGAAATTTCTTCAGTTGTAGGAATTAAGCTCAGTAATCGCTAAAAAAATAATCGATTTTTACTGTTATATTACAAAAGTTAACAATGTCATTTTAATCTTAATAGATAGCATGTACCAATTTTGTAATTGGTATTCAGCAAGTATATCTTTATCTTAAAATTATTAGCCTTGAACCCACCTCAATTCCTTCCCTATTTATGCATTCATTGTCCATTTTTAAAATAGCAGATTTGATGGTATTGACAGGTGGCAATTTTACAAGTGCAATATTAATACCATTAGATCTTTTGCTATCTAATACAATAATGTTTTCTTTTTTTTGAATCGAGTCACTTGGCTGTGGCAAGGAAGTAAAAGGAATTAATGTAAATTAGGATGTAAATCCTTATAATCAACATTATTTCTAAATTACTTTTAATTTTTCTATAATAATGACAAAGTTTACAATAAGATCCGTAGTTTACTTTATTTATTGGGCTTCTAGCTTTCGCTTCGAAAAGACGTCCCAATTCTTCTTTATCGATATTAATTGTAGATAACGATTTCCAAATTGTTGCATCGATATTAGTCGAGATAGGTCTAATTTCTTCCCAGTGTAATCGTATCAGTTTCGTTTTTGATTTATCTGGTGATAATAATAAAGTACCATGAGATCCAGAAGGACCTGGCGGTGGTGGTGGTGGAGGTGCTCCTGGCGGTGGAGGTGGTGGGGGTGGAGGAGGTGCACCTGGCCCACCTAGTGGCATTGGAGGTGGCGGTGGAGGAATGCCACCTGCTAATGGTGTTACAGTAGTAGGTGATATAATAACACTTGCAATTAAATTATCTACATCATCTTCATCAGTTAAGTCAGTAAAATTTAAATCTCCAATTACTAATGGCCTCTCTGGTAAGATATCCATTCTTTCAAATGGCAGTTCGTCATCTAATATTTCAGAGGACTCGTTCTCTTCCGTCGTTGCTACTGGTCCTGGTGTTACATTAACATCAATAGATCCCAGCCCTAGCGATGATTTAATTTTACTAAGCTTGTTCGATGTCGAATCTTCGTCAAGGGAAGAACTTTTTATCTCAGGTGCTTTTTCACTTCCGAATTCAAATTTATCAGCAGTCATTTGAACAGAGGTAAGTGCTAAGTCTTCTTCTTGATTGCCCGAAATTATGTTGTCTCTATTTGTAGAAACACCAGGTGTACCTTGTGAATACAGCATATTCATAAGCCAAGCTTTATTGTCTATGCCTTGCTTAGCCGGCTGTCCATCCTCATCACGGAAGCCAGATAATGTCATATAGCGTGTCTTTCTCATTTGTCTCATATTTTGCTTTGGTTTCTTCCTACGGTATTTTTCCTGATCACCTTCAGGCTTTCGATCAATTTCCTGCTTTTGGTTTGATTCGTTCGTATTATATGTTTCATTTTCTATTATATTATTTTGTTCTTCGTTCATCTTTGATATCTTCTGGTCATCTAAATCGATATCTACGCCTCTACCAATATCATTATGGTTTGTTGTTGTTATACTACCTTTATTCAAGTCATGATCTTCATCGTTTTCATAGCTTGTAACCTGTGGTAGATCTTGCAATCGCTTCTGGTCTTCAGTACTTAACGATGGACTGCGGCGAATTAATGCTACAGATGACTTTCTTGCTGTTTCTTTTTCTGGTACTGTATCTACACTTGATTTTCTAGTTATTACTTTTTCTGTTATTGTCTCTGCGCTTGATACTCTAGTTATTACTTTTTCTGAAACTGTACTTGAACCAGTATATGAAACCGAGGAATTCGTAATTGTTGGTTGTGTTTCTTGTTCGTTCGCATTTTCAATATTATCGTCCCTATTGATAGTGCCTTCGTTGATTGCGTTATAATCGGGATGGGCACTTCGTAAAAGTACAGGTCTATTGCTTATACCTTTACGGGTGAAACGTCCAGCAGGTATAAGATCGCGTTTTTCAATATTTAAATTAAGATTTCTGCTAGGAGTGGTATTATCAACACGTGGATGACTTGGTATTTCTTGACTGCTTTGATGAATATCTTGTACAGGTTTGTGAACTGCACCTATCGCAAACATACTTTAAATTTAGGTTTTTATCCTATAATAGCCTTGATTATATATAATATAAAATTATTTATTTCAGATTTTTTGTAAAGCTTGAAAAATAGAGTTACTTACTTCGACTTGAATCCCTCTTTGGTACTGAAGGTGTCAACTTTATGTTCTTACTAGTATCAATCTTAATCCCTCTTCTTTTACGTTCAGTACCACTACTTGTAATTTCAGGTCTATTTAGAGGGCCTTGGGAACTATAGCTGCTACTACTGCTAGCAGTAGAATCAGATGAACTTGATCTAGATCGTAGTACGTCGGACGATTTCTGTAAAATTTGCTTAGAACTATCAGAGATAGCTGAGTAACGATTCTCTGAAGCAACAACAGAATCAATTGATGGTCGTCTATTTTCATTTGAACCAAGTTTGGAATCGATTATACTAGGAGACATCTTTCTTGCAGGAGATCGAGAATGATGGATTGGTCTCTTTTTATTTGCCAGATAAATGTTATCGTTCATTCTATTAAGTATGAAAAGTAATTTTGTCTTAATCATATTGCAATCATAAATATAACGAAATCTTTTTATATTTACATACACTTTATGAGAAGTATGATTGATTATTTCGAAGATATTGAATGCTTTACTATGTGTTTATACTGTATTATTTTATAATGTAGTACATACTTTGGCCCGTGATATTTAAGTTCAGGTTGTTGTTCTTCGGTTAACTCGGGAATAGAGTTTCCAGAAAGTCGACGTTTACCAACGTCTTCAGATTGAGATCTACCTCTAGCAGGAGCTAATAAAGTCGAAAAGTTAGCTCATTCTTGTGATTACTACATGATGATTTACTAAATTATAATCTAAGGGACAAATTGCATAATATGGCATGTCGTACTTCAGCTAACACTATAAATTATAAAGGATTATAAGCTAAATTTTTATTTAACAACAAATACGTATGTCACAATCATCTTACAAGCATCCATTCGTTTTCTCACTCCATAGTTGGACAATCTGATAAATTAGATAATAAATACTTTTAAGTATTATTTGTGATATTAATTAACTTACTTTTATAATCCATAAGAAGCAATAATATACTCTTATAATCAGTAATCATAAAATGATACATGTATTAATTAGTGCCGAGAAATTTAAAGTGTTCAATGTGGCAAAGTACAGTAAAGGACTGAAATATATCTTGAAGAAGAAATACAAGTTTTCCTCTGGCCTTAATATTATTGTTCCTTACTTTGCCATAATTTCTTCTGAAATATCCTCGCCATCTTCAATTTTAAGCGTCGTCTAGTGCAGCATAAGGATAGTAACGTGTTAGCATTGATTACTATACTTATAGCGATATAGCCTTACTTGCTAAATAAACAGAAGTTCTATAAACAAAATGATGTTCTCTGATTACCTCATACACTAGTATCTGATCTTGGAGATCTGCAGGAACTTTAGGCTTGTTTTGTAATTTCTGTTTAATATACGGTATAGTGGGTAAAAGTCATGATATATTGTACTTTTTACAATTTTGCTAGGGAAACTTTAGGTAAACCGATAGTATATGTTTACAATATCATTTAATAGGCATGCAAACTAAATTATTTTGATTATTATATTCATAGAAGTAAAATATCACCTTCATAGCAGATTCAATTCCTTGCTCTTCAAGCTCATCAGTAATATCATAATAGGTATCCTGATCAACGGCTGCTGCACATATCTGCAAAATAAATTAAAATATGGAGATTATAACAGATATATATATGATTCACGTATTAATTGGTAATTATTACTTTATTAATTAGTGTTAGTGCTAAGGTAGGCAAGGTGGGATCGCCTGTTCCAGTTTTTTCTCGTAGTATGTCCATCAGTTTAGCGAAAGGTTTTTCCCCTGCATTGTAAATTTCAATAATTATATTGGTAATATGTTGATAATTGATCGTTATCGATATTATTATTAGGTAGCAGTCTAAATTACTGCGGTCATAAATATCTGCTGATACCGTCGTCTTCATCGACATCAATGGCTGCATTTCTTAAGATTGCTCCGTTTGTTTCGGCATATTCAAGAAAAATTATCAACAGCTTTAATGCGGTCTTAGCTACCATAAAATACTGTAGAGGTAAAATAGATTTCATTAGTTTCTTAGAATATTAAAAGCATACAGATCCAAATAAAAGAGTCATAAACGTCTTTACAGTTACAATATTGTGCTAGGCAGTATTAATAATAAATTGCTGATTGAGATATCCGAATAAATTAAAATTATTTTCCCTTTCAATTTATAAATTCAAAAAGATACCTTCGACGCAGTAAGTGAATAAATCCAAGTAATGGTCTCAGGAGATTCAATTAATCCATTCATTCCGTCAACATATAGCATGATTTGACTTATTGCTATGGTAAAGACACAGTCAAAAATTTGGTAGCATAATACAGCTAATTGATTATTGTTAGAAGAGGCATGTTTTAAACGATAACTATCAATTTACTGCTGGCTAATACAATTATATCGTGATTAGATTGCTATTGTTCTTCATATTACAGGTGGTATAGTAATATTGCTATTAGTTGAGAAATTGCTAACTTATTATCTTAATATTACCTCTTAATATATAGCTCTGATAATTCTGATCAGCATCTGTTCCAACAGTTACTAGACAGCTTAGTCCATCAGCATTAACAAATTCGTCGACTAAATCTTTATCTTCCTGTGACCATAGCCGAATTATATGAAGATAAAGTTAACTTGTTATGCTTTTAGCAGTAATTCTCTTCCTAGGGTTCATTACTGTAATCCTGTTCACTAGATCCTAATTTATACGTATACATATACATGTCGCATGTATAATAACAAAATAAATCTAATCTAGTATAATTTTTGCCTGCCGATTCTCATAACTGTTTCAACAAATATTTTGTCGTAGTATTAGTTAAGCATTTATTTTACGAATATGACATTTTAATTATGAAGTACCTCAAATATTTGTCGCAAAGAGAATAATATTCTGCGTAATTCCCTACCAGTCGATTTAAAAATCGTTTCTAGTTATGAAGAAATGATTCAATAATTACTTAATATAATATTTTTCTTTAAATCGTATCTAAATATTTTTGGCTTTAATTAAAAAAATTGCGTGATTATTTACTTTAAATTGCGTTAAAAGTAACTAGTATTCACTTTATTTAATATCGTTTAGATATTTAGGCTTGATACTTAAATAGTATACTTTAAGAAATATTGTCCTAATTTACAATGATTTATGTAGTTAAGGTTTACTCGTACTATAAATCTGATTGCCGGTAAATGATGCGATGATAATTAGGCTCAATTTTGTCCACGTAATGTTATTTAGTCGTGTTATAGGATTTTGATTGCCATCATTTAATAATTTACTAATTTTGCTAATCCCATTTGAGGAACAGCGCTTGTAGAAAATCCAAAGGACTCGTTCAATTGAACGATTGCATTTTTTACTGCATTTGATATAGAAAAATGATAATTTTGATATATTGACATGCATTCGGATACGTAAATGTATCGTGCATATACATATTTTGTTCTACAAATATTACATAACGAATATTGTGCAGTGAACTTTCTAGAAGATCGAAAATGCATGCTAAATAAGGGATTTTCTGTTTACATTTACTGTAACAAATTAGAGATTA